TAGACTGGTGCTTTATCTACTGCACCACCTAGCTGCCCCCTTAATTCAGTTTTTTTAAAGTAGTTTTCAGATCTGGGAAAACATTGGTCTCCAATTTCTGTTTCTCACCAGCCAGGACATCACAGGTGATATTTACTATTTCAACTTTGCCAATGGACAGTCCATGTGGGATCACCCATGTGATGAGCATTATCGGAACCTGGTAATCCAGGAACGGGGAAAGCTGTCGACTCCTGGCGCTATCAAAAAGAAAGATAAGAGAAAGAAGAAGGACAAGAATTACAAGAAGGACAAGGAACCTCCCAAAACTCCCACGGTGAGTCACGGTTTGCTGGCGTCTAGAGGGGGCAGAGCCGAAGCTGATGGGGCTTTTTATACTTTTGCATGTTTCTTCCAGGACTATGAAATTAGAGACACTGTTGGTAGCAACAACGGTAATAGCATAGTCAACTCTTGATTGTTTGCAGGTTTATTTTTCTGATTGTGTTTTTTACCTGTGGTCAATGTTGGCTTTCAAAATTTCTGGTTAGTGGTGTCAGTCTTCCTTGCTAGATCTTCCTCCATGCCAATTGGGAGCCCAGCAGAAACTGGAAAAGAAGTCCTATTTTAGCTAAAACAACTTGCCCCTAGGAAATGGACATCAGATAAGCTTAGACAGAGAGAAGCTTTCCTTAAGCTGAAGTTTTATGTGGCCTGCAAAGTGATACTTTCTGTTCCTATCATGGAATGGTCTTCAAGAAAAGATTGGGAAGAGGGCAGGATGGCTAAACTGAATGGCTTTCCCACTCCTTTTAGGTCATGGTTCTCACAACTTTGATTATTCATTTTAACATGTGAATTCGCAGACATCCAGTATAGCCACATTTAGATGTAAGCACAAAAGTACCTTCCAGAGACAAAGAGAAATGCTTTTGGTGTCGTTCACTGTTTTAAATGATCTTTGTCACTGTTCTCCTCCTTAGCAAGAATGACTAAGATTTGATGGTAACTGGCCAGGTGGGATGGCACACCCCTGTAATCCCAGTTACCAGAGTGGCTAAAGCTGGCAGATCTCTTGAGCGCGAGAGTTCTGAGCTGTAGTGGGCTATTCCAATCGGATATCCATACTGAATTTAGCATTACTATAGTGACCCTGGGGAGTAGGGGTCCACAACATCACCTGAGGAGGGGCCAGCTAGGCTAGGTCAGAAGTGGAATAGGTTGAAACTCCCATGTGATCGTGAATGGGATTGGGCCATGAGTAACCCTTGAGACCTAGTATTTAAGGAAAAAAAAATAAGATTTGATGATAACTGTAATACCTTGGATTACCATAGCATTTTGCTTTTTAGTTCAATAAGTTTTTCTATAATTTCATTTTTCCTGACAACATGCCTCAGTATAGGAGTGAGCAGGAGTTATTTTTCTCATTTTTATCAATGGAGGACTTAAAGACTATGGTTACCTTGAAAAATCACTGGTATCATGGGGACTAGAACCTGGCCCTTTTTTTATACCCAGGCCAGTGGTCTTCCTATAAGACTTAGCTCCCCAAGGAATACAGATGGGGCCAAACAGAAAACCTGAAAATGAGATAGTTAAATTTCACCTTGGTAGTGGGAGGGAAGAATGGTACTAAAACCAGTCTATATATTTACTTAATTTGGACAGAATATAGACATAGGGCTTTGGTCATCCCTCATGCCTGCCTTATTATCTTCTTTTGGAGTCTGTAGCTTCTTTTCCCAGTCTAGTGTTGATTTCTCAATGATGTGATTTTTTTTCCTGTCTTCCCTTCCTCCCCCAAGTTGCTCATTCCAGGGCATGTTTTACAGGGGTTATCTGTCAAGTTAGTCTCTCCTCTCCATTCCCCCTGCCTCCCAAACTCTTTTCAAGTTTTCTGTATCACCCCCCCCTTTTTTTTTTGGAAATCTATCAGGCATGGTACCAAGTCCCATTCCTTTAAGAAGAAAGGTAAAACATATAATTTTGAAATAGTTAATTAATTATTCACTTTCCTGAAGTATTGAGTGTTCAAAGTAGACTGTAAGACAATTAATTTAGCAGTTGGGACAGTCTTAGTGTATCAGAATGGAGGGCAGAGGATGGCCATGGGATAGTGGATTCAATCCTGGGTATAAAATCCTAGCTCAGGGCATCTTGATTTCCCCCTCCAAACAGTCTTACCTTTATTTTAGGAAGGTGTGGAATACTTGACTATCCCAGTTCTACCAGTCCACTGCTGTCTGGTTGTTAGAGCCCCCCTCAGCAGCTTTAGACCCCATTCATTACAGTGGGACAGTCTTCCTTAGGCAGGGTGGGCTCATTTCCATGGTACCAAAGCATCGGATAGTTACTGTGGGGTTAGGCCATAGTTCTTTTCTACCCTCTCCCCAGCCTCCCAAGAGGTGCCAGATTTCCTTCAGGTGGAATTGGCCCTAATAAGCCTGGTGCCATTTTATCAGTGATAAGCTTTTCCAGGGTGATAATTGGTTTTTAGCCTTCTTTCCCTGCTTGGTTGATACCTGTCCATAGATTGTCTTGCTTAGAAATAAAGTAACATATGTAAATCTCCATAGGAGCATAGACTGTCTTGCTTAGAAATAAAGTAACATATATAAATCTGAAGTGCCATATTTTACTTTTCTCTACATGTTTATATTGCTTGTTTAGGAAACACAGCCAGAGCAGGGGATCCTACCTTCTTCTTCCTCGTACTGTGACCCATCCCCACTCCCAGCATCTGGGCTCACTGGCTTGGACCTAGAACAGGAGATGCAGATGAAAAGTGAGGGCTCCTTTAGGAAAGGGAAGGGCATGTGCATGCTGGGCGACAACCCCTGGCCTCTTGTTGGTGCTTTGCCATGCAAGCTGCAGCCACTGTCCAAAGGCCAAGTTCCCCGAACCCACCAGATCTTTGGTGATGTGGAGAAAATCTTAGGCAGAGCCCCAGCCCCAGGCAAGAAAGAACTAGGTGACCAGTTGGGCCTTCAGAAGCCCCAGAAGCTTACAGAGAAGTTTTACCTGGGCTTTTCAGACCCTGAAGTAGAAGAGCTAGAAATGATGACCAAGCAGCTGAAATCTGGTATTCAGGGCCCTGAAGGCATCAGACCTTTCCAAGATGGCCCAGAGGTGTTAGAGAGTAGGAGTCAGTCCTCTATCAACTCAAAGCTCTCTGAAGCCATCAAGAACTCACAGGCAAAAGGGGAACAGGTCTGCTATAACCTGTCCAAACTGAGCCTCACTGGCCCTAGTGGGGACAAAGGCAGGAACCTGGCTCCCTCAGCAGGCCCAGGAGATGCAGCCTCCCTGTCTCCCTACAGTTCTGAGTACCTGTTGTCAAGCAGGAAGGGCAAGTTGCTTTTGATAGATAGCAATCCAGCGGAAGAGCTAAACCAACAAGAGGTCCTTGAGGAGGGTAGACTCTTGGGGAAAGGCAGGAGGAAAAGAGAGCCTCAGGGACTGTGGATGGGACAGACCTCTGGGCTCCGCAGCAAGAGTGACCAGGGCAACTGCAAGGAGTCTGAGCGTAGCCATCCTGAGGTACAAGCAATCTCGGCTCAGGATAGACTGCAAGGCCACCTTCTTGCTCCCCCACTAAGTGCAGACATAGCACCATCCCTTGTACCGAAAGCAGCTCAGAATGCCCTTTCAGTGAATATCCGTGAAAGTATGCCTCTCCCCACTGAGATCAGGGAGATCTCCCAGCCACTGGGTCTTCCAGATGAAATCAAGCAGCCCAGTGCCTCCGAACCAGACCCAGTGAGCAGTAGCAGCAGTCTGGCCTCTCACTTGGGCTCACAGGTCTTGGGTGAGGTGGACAACTTCTCCTGGGACTTGCAAAGCTCCCAGGAGTCAGAACTGGCAGTGGGCCAGTTAGGAGCTGGCCGATGGGCCCAACATGCCCGCTCTTTTCTAGAGTCCCAGTTGGTCCATACCCACAGCTCAACAGATGAGCGATCAGAAAGTGAAGACTACTCTGAGGACCAGAGATTCTATCAGCACATACTGCAGATGCTCAAGATCTCTAGACGGCTAGAAGGCCCACTGCTAGCCAAGAGCATGCAGGAGATGCCATGCAAGGACATTGCTAGCATGGTCTGCCATATGGTGGCTGTGTCACCTGGGTCACCCAGCGAGGGTGAGCAAGAGGAAACTAAAGCCACTGAGAGAGAGTCAGGGCCCATGGTTGGGGCACCAGAACTCCTTCAGGGCCCAGAGGCAATAGGCAGTGTCCCTGAAGGGCATGGGGCCACACAGCAAGTCCATCTGCAGCCAGCAAGCGGGCCCCACAGGCAAGAGGAAGCAGAGCTGAACTCCAGCCGAGGCCCAGCTTCAGAGTCAGGGACGAGGCAGCTTTTCAATCAGGTAGGCTTCTCTGCAGGAATGAGTTAAGGAGGGGGATGTGTAGGCATGGCAGCTAGGGGAATGAGGGTGGCAGATTAGATTCAGGATTGTGAATGGGTTTTAAATCTGAAGGTAGTCATTAGCAGATTTCCCATCATACTTCCCTCATTGAATGTTGATTCTTTAACTGCATATTTTGGGCATTTTTGGAGATGTCCTTTTCATCTGGTCTCCCATGAGATGGCAGCCATGGTTGCCTTTCCCTCAGTATTTAGTGGTAGCACACAAATGTTTTAAAGAGAAACAAGCCAGTCTGTGGTCAAAGGGGAATTGTTACTCTTGGCCCCAGCATACCAGAAAGGGAGGGGTGGGTATATTTCCAGGATGTGGGGAACATTCTCTAGCAGCTGGTCACTTTGGAACTTTAAGTAATTGAGATGGGAAAGAGGAACCATTTTAGACTTGTGTGCTCACCCTACAGCCTCAGATAAGTTAGGTCACTAGCCTGATATCCTGCAACACCAGGGAGTTATTGTATTCCGTAGGTGTACTTTAGACTCCAGAATCTCCTGTCCACCCCTGATCTTAGTTTTCTGCATATCAGAAAATGGTGTGAATGTCCTCCTCCTCTCCTAGACTCTGGTGGCAACAGCTAGGGGAAATGAAGGGGGAGCCTTTCTTTTGTGGCTTCCCTTTTTTCCATAGAGTCAGCACCACCAAGGGGCAGGGATGTTTGTCCTCAAATCAGAGAGATTCACACTAATTCAGAAGAAATCCAATAGACTACGAGTGTGGGACAGAGCAGGGTTGAATTTGCCTGGTTACCCTCTTGTTGCTGCCCAGCTGTGACTTCACCCAGTTGCTGCCTCTGGTTCCTAATTGCTGGCATGCATTAGTGCTCCGTTAGCTGCTAATAACTACTCTAGGACTATAAATATCGGATGAAGCTGCAGATTATCCTGGAAGTTTTAATTAGCCCAATGGCAGCAAGTTTATCCTTTCTGAAGGACAGCTCTACCCAAAGCCCTACACTCACAGTTAATGGCCATCTGTAGAACATAATTAGCTAGGGGCCAAGAATGTGTAATTTCCCCAATAACCACTGATTTGGTAAAGGCTTGGGAGAACAAAGACCTCAGCGTGCCTGTCTCCTTTTCCCAATCCCTGGCATGATAGCGAATTACCCATGTTAGGAGTCTGTAATTTTCCATAAATACAACGCTGGGAGAATTTTGCTTGCTGACACACTGAAACTGATTGGAGGGAGTGCAGCCAGGAGGAACAGGCCCAGGCTTGCTCTCTAATCACATCAGGAAAAGCTTTCCTGTATGCTCTTCTTTTACTCCCCTACCATGAGATACTGTGAAGCTGCCTCACCTGTCAGGAGCCCAGGTTAGTTCCTAGGCAGCTTTATATCTCCCCTCCTCTCCATTCAGAAATGGTTCCCTGCGAAGGAAAGTAGATGTTTTGGTCCCAAGTGCTTCTGTCCTTGGCCCTCTAAGCTGAACCCGTGTAGGGAGGAATGGAGGAAATTTGTCTATTGCATCAGTTGTCTGGGCTTTCTAAGTTGAACCCTTTCTGCATCCCCTACTCTGTGATTATACTCTGTACTTAGAAGGCCCAAACAACCAGGGAAAGGACTAAGGATTTTTAAGAACTCTCTAAATTATTATGGCATTGCCATTTATAAAACCTTACTCTTGACATGCCCTGATAATTATTATTCCTGTAAAGATGGTGATAATTTTACCTTCCACATGTAACAATTGAAAAAGTATTTTCACATTTATTACTTCATTTAGAACTAATAGTTAGTCAGTAAGCTTTCATTCAGCACTGGCTACACGCAGGCCCTGGCTAAACACTGGGCATACAAAGAAAGGCAAAAGACAGTCCCTTCCCTCTAGGGGCTCACAGTCTAATCGGGGAGGCAACGTGCAAGCTACTATGTACAGACAAGCTATGTACAAGATAAATAGGAGATAATCAACAGAGAGAAGGCACTGGAACTAAGAGGGACTGGGAATCATTGAGCTGGAAGGAAGACATCCCTCATTTTATAGATAAAGAGACTAAGACCCAGAGGGCTGTCACTTGCCCAGGGTCACATGGGTAACCAGTAGGATTGGGAGCCAGGTTTCCTCCTTCCCAGTGTGCTGCTCTTTTCACATATGACGGTCCTGTGAGGTAGGCAAGATGAGTGGTACCCCCATTTTGCAGGTGAAGACATTGAGGTTCAGAGATGTTAAATGCCTTGCACAAAGTCACATGGGAAGTAAGAGATGGAGGCATCATCTGACCCTGAGTCTTTGGACTCCCAGTCCGGCATCATTTCCTTCAGATCATGCTGCCTCCTTGGCCCATGGCTTACATTTCTGAAAGCAGGTCCAACCAGCAGGGGAAGAGTAAGTGAGCCACTTAATCTCTATTCCAAGTGGAGAGATCACACCCTTTTGTATTGTGGCTTCTTGCACATTCTCCTCAGTCAGCCGAGGGGGAAAGGTACTTATTTTCCCACTTGTTGCTTAAAAGGAGAACAGTCCCAGGTAAAATCGGCCGGATGAATAAGTATTGTTAATATTGACCAGCAGAAGAGATAAAGGCACCAGTAAATCAATCTGTTATTTCCCAATGCTCTCAACATCATGTTAATTTCTAAATGTCATTTTTCATTGGCAGCCTCTGAACAGAGGAGATTTAAATTTGAGTGGGCAGAATGTGGATGTTTTATTTTTTATATCTGCCTCCAGCCTTCCTGGAGTCACATGGCTTATTAGGGTACATGACAAGGTGTTTCCTGTTGCCTAGACCCTGGCTCCTTCCTTAGCTCCAGTTCATGTGCCCCTGGGCGGCCTCGCTCCATTGCGCAGCCTCATGGATACCTCAGCCCCAACCTTCCGTTCCTCCCCGAGTGTCAACGTGGGAAGCTCAGTGGAATCTTCTCAGCCTTTGGAAACTGCCCTGGTAAATGCTGTCTCTTTGTCTACGTGGCTGCTGTGGGGAGGTGGATGAATTCAACCAATAGCCCCTATTATGTACTCAGTACCATGGCAGACACAGTACAGAGAAATAAGAAAAACACAGGACACAGTCTGTGCTTTTAGGGAGCTCACTGTTTACTTGGGGAAACAAGACATATGCATGTGAAGCAACTGGGAAATAAGACAGTATCTAATAATGTGCCAAATTGTGATCTATAAACAATTAGAAAACAAAACAATATGGCATTGGATAATTGGATGATACAGGCAATAAATGCAATAGGAGTTGGAGGAGAGAAAGATCAGTGTGGATTGGAATCATTAGGGGAGGCTTTGTGGAGGTGGTGGGCTAGAAGCTCAGCCTTGAAGGATTAGTAGGATTTGGATGGAGGAGAGGGGTAAGCTGTTCCAGATGGCAGGAAGAGCATGAGCAGTAGCAGGGAGGTGAGAATGACTTTAGTATGTTCAGGAGACATAAGAAGACCTGCCAGGCTGGAGTGAAGGAGTCCTGAACAGTAAGGCTAGATAGGGAAGGTAAAGAATGGCTTTGTAATGCCAGGAGGAGAAATTTGGACTTTATCCAGCCTTAGGGAGCCAATGTAAGTTTTTAAGTAAGGAAGTGACATAAAGAAAGTGGAATTTTTGGAAGGCTAACCTGATAGAGGTGTCTAGGATGAATTGGTGAGAGAGAACAAGGGCTGTGGTGTGACCAGGAGACTTTGATGGTAATTTGTAAATAGATATTAGATCATGAAGGCCAGCACTAGGATGATGATAGTGGGGTTAGAAAGAGAGGAACAAGTTGAGAAGGAATGAAAAAGCATTTATTTATTAAGTGCTTACTATATGCCAAGGATTGAGCTAAGTGCTGGGAATACTAATGCAAAAATGAGACATTCCTGTCCTCAAGGAACTTATATTCTAGGAGGGGGAGACAACACATACAGTGTAGTGGTGTTCAGAGAGGGGTCTTTGGGTTTGGAGAGTCACAGGCATGCTGAATGGAGCCATAGAATCCAACATAAGACCAATAGGTATGTCATGGGTTGACACACCTATTCCAGCATCATTGACAGTATTGATTTAATTATTGTTTCAGATCTGGAAAGCCAGAGTTGAGGGTCTAGCATGTGAAAAGATAGCCAAGGTGTCAAGAGAAGCTTGGTTAGAACTGTCTAGTTAGAGTGTACCATGTGAGACACATTGGAAAGGAAGGACTTGTAAGATTTGTTTACTGTGGTTGGATGCAAAGGGTCAAGGAAAGGGAAGAGTTGAAGATGGCATCAAGGTCACATACATGGGGAACTGGGAGAAGGTTAATGCCTTGAAGAGAAATGTGAAAACTGGGTAGCTAGATAAGAGAGCTGCTTATAGGGATAGGGAGATATTTTAGGTTTTAGACATGTTGAACTTGAAGTAATGGTGTACTGTCAGTTGGAAATGTGGTCCTGGAGATCAAGTAAGACATTGAAATTAGATAGAAAGATTTTGGAGTTGTCTGCATATAGTAGAGAAGCCCATGAAGTCAGAGAGCACATAATCACCACTAGTCTTAATTAGTTTCTCACTTCTGTGGTGCTATGCCATATACTAGATAGAATAAGTTATACATAAATGGTTCTTGCCATCAAGGGCTTGCCTTCAGGCAAAGAACATGATGTTAGATGCAGATACATGAAAGCATAGACACCCAGATAGTTGTTTCTGAGCAACCCCAAGCAAAGTTTGCATGGCCCTTCTTTAACAGTTCCAAATGGGGCATTTTGGTTTATTCAGTGCTTTTTTTAACTCCCTTGAAAGAAAGGATGAGGTGAGGATTGCACTTGACTCATTAGACCCAACTGCTTCCTTTTTTGGTTTGAATTTATGCCCCTTTCTGGGCATCAGACTGTGCCTATCCGTTAGCACCAGTTGCTCTGCTTCCCTGAAAGACTTGATTGTGGGCTGCAGTAGGTTTGGGGAAAAAGAGCGCCAAAGGAAGAAGGTCCCTGTGTAATACTTCAGTCTTCTTAGGAGATGCTATGGATGTGTGTTGTGTGGGGAGAATCTTTGCAACAGGACACATTGTGGTCACAGCATTGGATTTCACTTGGAAGGCTCTTAGCTCTGATGTCTTCTTCATTCTCAGTCCTTCAGTTCTTGATTCCCTTTGGTGTATGGGTGCTTCCTTCTGCCATTTTTTTAGCTTCCACAAGTCCCCAAGACTTCTACCTACACCAAGAATCTTCTGGGCTCCATCCATGAGGAGAAGAACCCTCTCAACCTGCTGGCTCTTGGGGAGGAGATCAACGAGGAGGAGGAGGAGAGTGATAATCAGGTAATGTAGGCTACCTTTCCTTGTCATTGTTTGTAGTTTGTCCCGTTCACAAGAAGAACACATAAAGTAGACCAGCCAACATCAGCTTTTTAGCCATCTGGCCAAGACAGCATTACTGTTTATCTTGGACAGGTGTTTGTTGGCAGGGTTGTTTGAGTGGGGGTCTTGTCCATTAATCCTCTTGAGGTTCCTGGTCCCTTGCTAGCACAGTAACACCCTTCTTCCCATCTCCCTCCCTTCTTTGCTTCCTCCTGTCCTCCTTAGTCTGAATAGGTCTTTTGTTCACTCTACTTTTCAGAGCCTCCAAAGCACAGCTGGACTCCTCAAGAATCTACACCTGGATATTGGGGTCCTGGGGGACAATTTTGATTTTGAGGTAAGGTTGATATTTCCCTTAAGGCACATTTCCAATCCTGGCCTGTTCCCTCCTTCCCAAGGACCTTTGTGATATGCTGGTTGTGTGCCTGGAGGAAAGATCATTTCTTTTCAGCCCTGTTCAAATGGTAATGAGGAGGGAGGATGTGGAGGAAAGCAGGCTAGTTAAGTTAAGAGGGAGAACTCTTCGTCCATTCACTGAACAAATATTTATTTAGTTCCTACTGTGAATGGGGTGAGAGGCAGTGTTGCATGGTAGATAGAGAGAGGAAGACCTGAGTTCAAATCCTGCTTCTGACAAATGATAACTTTGTAATCCTGGACAAGTCATTTAACCTGTTAGTGCCCTGAACATCACTCTCAGATTTGAAGGTGCTGACCTGCCTCAGTAGAAAATATGTCTTACTAGGAGCTTCCTATTGTGATCAAACCACTGGTCTAGTGTGTGTATATGTGTGTGTGTGTGTGTGTGTGTGTGTGTGTGTGTGTGTGTGTGTGTGTGTATGTACATGCATTTCTCCGTCAGAAAGTTACAAGTGAAATGTGCAGAATTAAGAGGAAGGGAGAGATTACTCCCAATTTCATGTTAAGGGGCAATCAGGAAATAGCCTATACAGGTAGCTAAACCTTGAAAAATGTGTAGAATTTTCACAGAATTTTCACAGGTGGAGATGACATTGTAGGAGCAAAGGCACAGAGGTGGGAAAACTCGAGCTATATGGATACTGGTGAGTAGTTCAGTTTTTCTGAAGCATAGAGAAAGGTAAGGAAAGACTAGATAGAGGCAGAGAAACTGGTTAGAAAGCTGTTGTATCTTGATAATGAAGATTTTTTAAAACTCGGTTAAAAGCAGTAGGAATGGAAAGGAGGGGGACAGAGTTGAGATATTGAATTAGAATAAATAGGTTTTGGCAATTAATTGGATGAGAATGTGTGATTATGTCTGAGGAGAGATATGGTTAAGGATGACTGCAAGGTTTTGTGCCTGGGGAAATGATGGGGCCATTGATCAAAATAGGGAAGTGCTTACTCTGTGCCATGAATTGTGCTAAGTGCAGAAAAAGGGAAAATCAGGAGGAATAGAAGGAGCATCAAATTGGAAGTCAGAGGACCGGGATTTGACTCTGACCCTGTTACTACCTCTGTGATTCTGGGCAAGTCACCCATCCTCTCTGGGCCTCAGTTTCTTAATCTCTAAATTATGGGTTTGGGTTAGGTGATCTTTTAAGGCCCTTTCTGGTTTTAAGCTTTATGAACCCAGTAATGATTTTAAATTTGAGGTGTTGGGAGGACAACAGGTTAGGGATGTTTAGCAGGTATCTGACAACAAGAAGCTGGTGATCAGGACAGAAGCTGGGACAAGAAATGTAAATGTGGGAGTCATTTTTAGAAGTGGTTATTGTAATGATGGGAGTGGACCAGATCTTCAAAGGAGGAAGATTGGAGAGAAAATGAAACTTTTGGTAATGCGCTTATTTTTAGGGAGTGAATGAGGTAGAGAAGGAGCAGAGAGGTAGAGGGCTAGCAGAGAAGGGGGTCAGCACCATTCCTTCCTTTCCACTGTGCCCCTTTTTGTTAGTGTTTTTATCAGCCAACAAAACTGCCTTTTTTTTTTTTTTTGGTGAGGCAGTGGGGTGAAGTGACTTGCCCAGGGTCACAGAGCTAGTGAGTATATCTAGCTGCCCCCCAAAACTGTCTTAGAAATACTTCTTCCATCTTGCACTTATAAAGCCTGACTCCCCCCAGAAGATACTGAGTCTCTGGTCACTCTCTCCAGTGCTGGGTGAGTGCTCCAGTGCTCCAGGACCTTCCTTCATGCCTCCAGTGTGCCAGGCCAGGAGCAGTACTAAGCATATTCCTTACTCTTCACCACCATTTACCAGCCATTCCTCTGACACTAACTCAGCAACTCTTCTCCTTCTAGGTTCACTCCATCCAGAACTATTGCCCTATTTTGATCCTGGTTGCTATTAAGTGTCCCCAGATCATTCTCTCTTCTTTCTCAGGGAGTTCACCGCCTGGCTCCCAGTCTTCTTTATACCCCAACCTCTGCCCTCATACTAGATGCCTTTAATACACCTGCTGATGACCCCTCAAATGCCCTCACCTTCTGGTTTCATTTCCCTAACTCCCATGACCTGTACCTTTATTCCACATCAGCTATACATATGAATGACTTTGATTCCAACGTCACTCATAACTGTTTGACTTCCATGATACAGACCCCTGAGACTCTTCTCTCAGACTGTAACCTTTTTAAGTTTTTTGGGGAAAATAAATTAATATCACTTGTTTTTTACACTGCCTTAATTTCTAAATCTATCCTTCCCCTACCTCTCTGCAGAGGGCCATTTCTTATAATGAAGAATAAAAAATGGAAAACACACACACACACACACACACACACACACACACACACAGAGTTCTGTAAAATTCACACATCAATCCAGTCTGATAGTATCCTTCCAAAACTACCTTGTATTTAACTACTTTATATATTTTGTATTTATTCTGCTTTTTATATATCTTAGCATTTTGTTTGTTTGTTTGTTGGAGAGGTAGTATGGCATAGGGTGTTGGACTCGTAGTCAGGAAGACTTGGTTTTAAATCCTGCCTTAGACATTGTGTGACCCTGGGCAAGTCACTTAACTCTGCTCGTTCTCAGATTTCTGCCCCACGGGAATCATATCTATAGCACCTACCTCACAAGGTTGTTGTGGGGATCAGTGAGAGAATGTGTATAAAGTGTTTGGCCCACTTTAAAGTGGTACATAAATGTAATTCATTCATTTTCCTGTATCTGTATTGTTTCCTTTCATTTCCTCAAGAGTGGGGATTGTTTCATGTTTGCCTTTGTTTTCCCATTGCTGTTAGCACAGTGCTTGGCACATAGCAGGTGCACCCTTAGCAGATGTTTGTTGAATTGGATCGATCCTCTCAGTTCTCCTTTGGCCTGGCACTATTTCCTGGATGTCTGTGAGCTAAAGCTCCGGGACAGAAATGGTACCCAGACAGATTTCCTTTCCAGGAATGGGTGCATTGTCCAGTTGCTATTATTTGGCCTAATGAGGACCCTGGTGTGTGCTGGCTAGGGTTCCTTTTGGGTTTCTTGTTAATTGACAGTTTCTTCATACGTGAGCTAAGGAGTCTGTTTAAAGAGATTCCTGATTGTTTCTGAACTTTCACTTTGATTAAAGATTTTTTAGAATCATTGTATCTTAGAGCTGGAAGAGACCTCCGAAATCATTTCATCCATCCCCTTCTGGAATTTAGTTTCGTTCTTCAAGCTTTTATAAAGTGCCTACTATGTGCTAGGCACTGGAGATAGAAAAGACAAAAACAATCTAGCTCTTTAAGGATAATATATTCTACTGGGATATAGGATGGGAGGGGAGGAGGAAATAATACATGTGCGGACGAACTCAAAACACACATACAAAGCAGGAAGTTAAATAAAAAGTAATTTCGGGGGCGGTGAGCCTTAATACTCAGATGAATCCACAAATGCCTTGTGTAGGAGGGAGCACTTGAGCCAAACTTTGAGGAATTCCAGGAGATGGAGGTGAGTAGGAAGCATCCTAGGTGTGGGAGATCCCAGCCTGTATAGAGACACACAGGTGGGAGAGGGAAGGTGGGTTATCTGTAACTTAGAATGTATGAGAGGGCGTGCTGTGACATCAGCCTGGAAAGGCAGGCAGGAGCAATTTTATGAGGGGTTTTAAGTCTCAAACAGAGAAGTTTGTATTTTGCTCCAGAGGTAATAGCTTCTTGAGCAAGGAAGGGCGTACTATGATCATGCCTGTGCTTTAGGAATATTACTTTGGCAGCTGTGTGTGGGGAGATTGGAAGCAAGGAGACCATGTAGTAGATTGTTACTGTAATCCAGGGGACAGGTAATGATGGTTTGAAATAGTTTGGTAAATGAGTGAGTGAGCGAGTGGAGGGATGGGATGGATGATTGGGGTAATGTGGAGGTAGAAGTGACAGAATATGGCAGCTGGTTAGATAAGGTGAGTTAGGGAGAGTAGAACATTAATTGTTTCTTCATGGGGGTACCTCCCATAAAGGATTCCCAACACCCTGTTACAAATGGGTAACAAATGTGACATGTGGAGAGGTGAGGGGACTATCAGTTGTTAGTATCTGATGAGTTGGCTCTGAGGCTCGGTGGGGGTGGGGTGTGGGGGGTGGGGAGGTGTGGTGGTTAGACACATTGACAGGTTCTTAGGTTAAGTTCTCCTTTTTTGCCTTTCTTCTCCCAATGTATGCTCACTGTTGAATTTCTACATCCTTCCCAAAGGAAGAGAGGTTGGGTTTTACCACAGGGAGAAGTTTGTGTTCAGGGGTTAAAGGGATCCACATGGGAGAAGGAGGCAGCTGTCCTAGGGCCTTTGTCAGCTGGTGATGTTCATGGATAAAGGATTGGGCACAGAAACGTGGACAAGCTGTCTAAGGCATGGACAGGTTGTCTGGTTTGGACCTTCGGAAACCAGTGATCCTTTTGGTTGCTTTGCACTTCTCCCTCTTTCCTATTTCTGAGTACAGAGGACTTCCAGTGGAGTCTTCAGCTGCAGGTTGGTTGGTCCTTCCTTTGACTGTTGGTGATCATTTTGCTTGTCATTCCATGAGATGGCAGTAGGAAGCAGCAACATTCATCTCTCAATCTCTCTCTCTCTCTCTCTCTCTCTCTCTCTCTCTCTCTCTCTCTCTCTCTCTCTCCCTCCCCCCAGCTACTCTGTCCCCTTCTCTCCTGTTTACAGCTTTCAACCCATCTCTAGTCTTATTACAGAATCAAAAGGAAAAGATTCATGAAATAGATATTGAGAATGAGTGTGAGGAAAGAGGGAGGCTGCAGGGCAAGGAGAGCAGATGGCATGTTGGGTCAGTGAAAATCCCATCCATCAGCAGATCAAAGATGAGAAAGCCAGGACTTTAGACTAACAGGTGATGATGTCAGTGTGATTTGAAGGTGCTAACAACACTGGGGAGAAGTATAAAGA